TGTTGGTATACTTTGAAGACGCTCCCAGCGAGACGGTATGGATACTCATATATTGGGCTGCGATTCGGCTTGAATTTATATATGGACCTAAAGTAACGGCCGAAGTCAGTCTAGGTTTAACATTATGATTATAGATATTCTAGTTCTCCATTTCCCAAATTGCATGTTGAAAAATTTGCTCTCATTAACAAGTCTTTTTTGTCTATATAGTACGTTGTTAAGACATCATAGGTGAACCAACGAAATATTGTTGTGTTTTTAACATTTTTGTTTGTTTTCTCACATTCCTCATAACAATATACACCACTACAAAAAAATGCCGAATTTGTAATGAATGTCTGACCGATTTCCGACGTAAATGAAAATTGGTAGGTAAATTGTCAAAAGTTTCCTGCCAAAACAAACACTAAGAAATCGGATAGAAATTACCGACCAATTTTCGAGCAAATTGACGACGCCGTCGAAAATCAGTAAAACATTATATGGAATTTATGTTTATCAATCATCTATTTCTTTCCAAGTGATTGATATTTAAAAAAAAAACACTTAGAATTTCTTGAAATGACTTTGATTTTCGAGTATGTATGTACAATACTCATTGGTATTCAAGTATTGGGCTAGTTATAAAGGAGTTGACGGAATTCATGAAATTTGCCATAAACCAGGATGTATACTTGCAAAATGGTAATATATTATGTCCATATTCTATAGTGTTTTTAGGATGATCCCTTTGAAATCACTATGCTTTTTTCAGTCACTTTAACAACAAAAATTAACTTCCAATTGCACTCGAAACTGTGTCACCATTTTCTGAATAACTTGTGACGCATAATGATATATTTATATTAAACACAATAGCTTTTCTTTATACTCATTCCAAAATCGTTTCAATTACAAATCCCTCATGTCACTCAAAACTCTGTACTCTCTCAGGAAGCTTAACTAGATAAGTCTCCCTTCATGGATCCAGAGGCTTCAAAATTAATTGAACTCCATACTTAGGTTTTATAGTAAGCACAACTATAGGAGCATGTCTATAATTCTCCGATATTTTGAAACTGAATTTGGAAACAAGCATTGCTAATATTATCTTTGCTTCCATCATCGCAAAAGACTGGCCAATGCAATTCCTAGGACCGGCCGCAAAAGGCATGAAATGACGGCTAGACTCAAAACTCCTAGCAGTGAAGCGTTCGGGGTTGAATTCGTCCGCATCTTCGCCCCATAATTCTTTGCTATGATGGATCGCAAGAACAGGGATCCATATAGATAAACCTTTCGGGATGACTATGTCCCCTAGTTTTATGTCTTCAAATGCCATTCTTGGTAGAAGAGTAGCAGGAGGGTAAAGTCTTAATGACTCGTTTATCACTTTGAATAACTGTTGTAATAAGAAAATAAAGAAAGATGAGTTAGTTGAATATTCTATTATATAACTCTATTAAAGAATCATATCTAGCAATCTTGTGAAGTGCCTTATGACTCTTTCTCAAAGATCTTTACTTGGTTTTAAGAATTGTCTTTCATTCAAGCTGTCAAAATCGTATCATCATTAGTTAATGAATGATTTTTTTTTTTAAAAAATTTTTGTATTATTTTATGCAAAGCATGTTGTAGTGGTAATCTTTTTAACCTGGAATATTTTATTTACCCATTGTTTAGATATGCCTTAGTTAGATATTAAAGATATAAGGCTTTTTAATAATGAGTCTCTCTATCTATCTGATCTAATGCTGAAGCAATGCTAATGTAAAATTTTATCTTATTCTAAATACCAAAAAAATAAAGATCCAAAAAATTTTCAATGTCATACATGAAATGAATTATCTGACTTCGAATTATAAATATCTAATCTACACTTCACCATGTATACATGTTTTGTTTATTTAGTTGAGAAAGAATATACAATAATTTTCGGGGAAACGAATTAATAAAATTTTCAAG